AACATGAGTCCACTACTCCATGGACCAGAGCTGCTGGTCCAGATAATTGTCAAACAGGGTCCTAAGCAATGATAGGTACTAAACACTACTTATCACTGCTATTTTAAGTCAGTATGGATCAAGACTCAGGAGACTGAAACTCTCAAGGCAAAGAAGACGTGTGGACTGTTCTTTCAGGGGGAACTGTATGATTCCACTGTGACATTGTCACTGTCAGGGCAGGTTATTGGTTTGTGGGTTCAGCATTGGCAGAGAAAGCTGCTGTTCAGTGGTGGAGAGGGCAGGATAACTTACAGGTGGTCTATAGTTGTGATTTCAGCCATGACTCTAAGTATTTGCCAGAGTCGGTTCTCTGCAGAAAGGTTTGCAGCATCACGCTGTGACATAAGGCATCTGTACTTTAATTGTGATGGTTAAGAATGCACCATGCAGGGCTTATAAGTTGCCTCAGCAGGTAAAGATGCTTGTTTCCAAGTCTGGTGATTTGAATTCGATCCCTAGGATACACATAGTAGAGGAAGAATTCGACCCCTTACCACACACTGTGGTACATGTGCCCTCATCCCTTGCCACAAAATAAATAAGTAAATGCAATTAAATGTTTTAAAACAGAATATCCTAGGCATTCTTGGACATTAGAATAATCAATAGTATGCTAAGCCCAGCTATACTAGATGCTTTCAAAGATGATGTTTCTACTTTAGAAAACACTCTGAGCAGGTGTTAAGGTTTCCCTGTATAAAGAGCTTGCATCTATGAGGTATTAGCTGACTTTCCCAAGATCATATTATTTGAATGTAACTCTCCTGCCCTGAGAGTTTAGATCCTTTGCAGTGTTGGGAGGGTCTTGATATGGACCATTTTCCCCGGAGAGCCAGAGAATAGGTAAGCAACTCCATCCATGTCCCATCAAACCCTGTTCTCTAAAAGGAGTTCAATGACAATTTTTAAATAGTAAAATGGTATTTGGAAGACTAGACTATGACCTACTTACAGGGGCAGAACTTGGGTGAAATACAGATGTTGGTCCAAGGGAGCAACTTCTGCTGACTCCTGCACTAATGGAGGTGGGTCTTGTATTTATCTGTTGCTTTCGTTGGTTAATTGATAAAGAAAACTGCTTGGCCCTGATGGGACAGAAAATTAGGTAGGTGGAGTAGACAGAACAGAATGCTGGGAGAAAGAAGCCAAGTCAGGCAGTCGCCATGATTCTCCCACTCCACACAGACACAGGTTAAGATCTTCCCTGGTAAGCCACCTCGTGGGCTACACAGATTATTAGATATGGGTTAGATCAATATGTAAGAGCTAGCCAATAAGAGGTTAAAACTAATGGGCCAAGCAGTGTTTAAAAGAATACAGTTTCCGTGTAATTATTTCGGGTAAAGCTAGCCATGTGGGTGGCCGGGCGCCAGGAACGTAGCCCACCACAGCTCCTTACAACACCTGCACTCAACAATTACTCTTGGAACCATGTCTTGGTGTTGTGACTTCTTCTGTAGATCAGAAGCACATCAATATTCCACAGTGTTGGCAGAGAAGAAGGCCCCTTCATTTGAATCATGGAGTCACAGACCTACTGTTGTACAGGACTGTTCTCTGAGCCAAGCAACTGCCATCTTTGGGAGTGCATCTCTTTCTATTTGAACACCACCATCTCAGCCAGGCTTGTTGACTGTTGACATTTCCTCATAGAAGGAAGGCAGGAGGGTCACAAGACCCTTATCTGAGTGTCTAATTGCTCCATACCACCCATTGCATACAATTCTACCCAAATTGCACATTGCTCAGGGGAGAGGCAAGAGTATATAGGCCAGGGAGAACTGGTGTGTGTGGATTCATCTATAGCTATGAAAACACCATCACCTGCTGGGTAAAGACTTTCTACTGAGATATTTTTCAGGGGAGTACCCATACTCCTGTAAGTAACCCCTATGTTCTATAAGTAAGCCCCCAAAATGCATTGATTATTCAGAATGAACTTTGTTAGAATTGAACCTCAATTTTTTTGGTGGGCTCTTAGGGGAAGAAAAGGGAGAAGAAGGAGGATGGAGAAGAAAGGGAGGAGGGGGAAGATAAGAAAGAGAGGGAGGAGGGGGAGGAGGAGAAGAGGGAAACAACGTTTATATATATCTCTCTCTCTGGGTAAAAATTTAGCAACACCTCTTGAGTCTAAGCTGCCTGAACTGCCCTTCTCTCCCATGACTTCTACCTGATCACAGCTTCCTGTTTTTCCCTCCTGGAATTCATTCTCTACTCTGCTACCCATCTTTTAAATTTTGTAATTGAGTATTTTAAATCTCGTATTCAATAAATACGTACTTAGTCTGGAAAATCTGGAATATATTAGGCAAAAAAATATCTCAGGTAAAAAACAAAACCAAATTTGGGCTCATTTCTTTCCAGGTTTCATAATATAAATGTCTTCATGATTGTTGCCCCTAAAGATCTGCTATTATTAATGGAGGAGGGCATGTGGCCCAGAGTCACAACAACAGAGGAGAGAACAAAATGGAAAAAACAAAGCCGTCCTTTCCCACCACCCTCACCCAGAAGGAAAAGAGATCTGTGCTTGGCAGTCATATGCTGTCTTGAGCAGGGATGCAAAGAATCCCTAAAATCAAGCGGAGGACCTCCTCAGAGAAGATCACTGTTTTTCCAAAAGAGTTTATTGAGCCCGTCCATGCAAAAGGAGTCCCACTGATAGAAAGTTCAGCAAAGTAAGGGGTTCTCTCTCTCTGTATCTCTCTGTCTCTCTATGTCTTTCTGTGTGTATCTGTGTGTTTGCAAGACACACACAAACACATACACATACATTCTTATGCATTCATGAGCCTGACAATGTGCCTGGCACAGGTGACAGAGCACGCACAGATGTTTCAGCAAGGTGAAAATTCATTCTCTCACTCATTCACCCACCAATAGTACTAGTAGCTGGGGCACAGTGGGTGACTCTTCTGCTCAGGTTTTGAGCTAGGCACTAGGAACTTAGTAATGAATATCATAGATTACATTCTTCATGAAACACACACACACAGTCAAGAGCAAGGGTTCCCAAGTACTTTGGTTAGTTTTTGCTAAACTGATACAAGCTAGAATTATTTGGAAGAGGAATCTCAATTGAGAAAATGCTTCCTTGAGATTGACCTGTAGGTGAGCCTGTGGAACCTTTTCTTGGTTAATGATTGAGGAGGAGGGTCCAGCCCCTTTGGGTGGTGCCAGGATGATCCTGGGAAGTATAAGAAAGATGGCTGAATGTGAGCTGGAGGAGGAAGATAGTAAGCAGCATTGCTTCATGGTCTCTGTTTCAATATGCCCCACTAGTCCTTTCCTTGATGGACCGTAGGCTGTAAGATGAAATAAACCCTTTCTCTGCCAATTGGTTCTGGTGAATATTTCATCAAAGCAATATAAAACAAACGATGGCACTGACCTTAGCACTATTGATATTTTGAGTCAGTTCATTTCTTTTTGTCAGAGATGGGCTGTTTGAAGCACTGTAGGCTGTTCACCATTGTTCCATTGTTCCACAATCAAAAATATTCCCTGGGAAAAGCCAAAAGTTGATGGGGCAGGGAGAAAGAAATGTCTACCAATTTAAAAGCTCTGTTATCAGAAGTATTAAAGCAGGTAATTTGGTAATGTAGAGGGAATATGGTCAGCCTTCTATCCAGGGTTCAGTGCCATTGGAGTCAATGGGTTGAAATATTTTTGAAAAAAGAATTCATTAGGTATTCCACTGGGAGTGATATGCACAAGCCCCTGAGCATGTATAAATATATTGTCTGTGTTTCCCCTCTGCCATGAATCAAATTCATCGTGCATAAGTGGTACCCCTTGCTTCTGGAATGAAGAGGCATGGAACAGATGCTTGTAGTTTGCGATGGATGCTCCCCATCTACCCACGTCTGTGCTTCTCCTTTCCACGATTTCAGTTACCAATGATCAACCATACTTTGAAAACATCAAGTGGAATCTTTAGGAAATAAATCCTTAAATTTCAAATACATTTTGTTTTTATATTATGACATACTATATAATGACAAATTGTTGTTATATTATGATATATGATATATTATGATAAGTGTTTTATCCTTGATGACAATTTTTACCCTCTTGTGGGCTTGATTTCTAAATGTGGTTTCCTCAGAGTCTGGTATGAATATGAAAAACACTATGTATATGGCCTGATACCATCTGTGTTTTTTGTTTTTGTTTTTGTTTATCTTTTTCTCTATGTAAAAGCCCTAGCTGTCCTGGAACTAGCTTTTGTAGACCAGGCTGGCCTCAAACTCATAGAGATCAGCCTACCTCTGTGTCCTGAGTGCTGGGATTAAAGGTGTGCACCATCACAGGCTCCATCTGTGGTTTTGGGCATCAAGTAAAAGCCTTGGAACGTATCTGTCTTGGGTGAAGAGAGACAGTGCTGTAATGAGAAACAAATCTTGGCTGTTGTAATCCTCCAAGGTTTTTTTATGGTCCTTTGTTCCTGCAGCCCACGTGAACACTGATTGATATACCTTTGTATGGCTATAGCCACGCCAGATGAACGCCATGGAAAAAAGGCTGGGAGCAGGAATACTATAAAAAAGATATTTGTAATACCCAGTCCAAGGGGACAAGTGGCTGTGAGTAGAACATGCTGAAAGCCTGGTCGTGTAGACGTGATCATTAGCTTAAGTAGCCTAGAAGACTAGATTCTTCCCTGACAATGCGAGGTGTCACTTACACACTGTTTTTGTGTGCCAGAAGGCTTTCCAAACGAGATCACAGGCACCGTGGCCTTGGATCTTCCCTCGGGTTCTAGAAGGCAGATGCCTATTATTAGCAACATTTTAAAGATCAGGATATGAGGGCTTAGAGCAATTAGTCACTTACATGTACAGTTCAACTGAAGCAGAGTGGTAATTCCTGTTCATCGGATCTCTTTGATGCCAACATCCTCCCACTCAGTTGTAGGGTGGATTCCTGGCTGGGCTTACCTGTAGGCCTGCTGATGAAAAGATAGCTTCTGCTGATGACTGAAAGTGGGAAAGAGTCGTCTGAGCGAGTTGCTTTCCTGGCAGGACCCGGAAGCACCGGTTCTCCACTGGGGGTTCTGAGGGAGAGCCCTCCCAGTGAAGTGGGCAGACTGGCCACGGTTGAGGAGGCAATGCTCTGAAACGAGAGGTGAAAGAGGCAAACATGTAAATCACATCCATTCACAAATTGAATTAATTATAGTTGACTGGCTCGCAGGTGGAAGGAATCCAACTGGAGATCGTTTAAAAGCAAGGGGGGGGGGCGGGAAATGATGGACAAGAAACGAAGGTAGTGTCTAGAACCAGGGATAGGAATATGGCAGAGCTCAGGGCGTCTGGAGGCAGAGCTAAAGCAGATTCCCTATGTCCTCCTCGGTGGACATATTTTCTATTTTCACTGCTCCAACCTGATGCAGCTGCCATCAGCTCTCAAGTTTGCAGGTTTGTGTTTCAGCCACCACGGATACGCTTGGTTCATTTTCATTCCCAAACACCAATTCGGAGGTTGGGGGGGGGGGTCTGGGAATGTGGTTCAGTTAACAGAGTGCTGGCCTGGCATGCAGGAAGCCCTGAGTTTGACCCCTAGCATCACAGAAATAGGACGTGGTTGTGCATGCCTGTAATCCCTCCGTTTATGAGGATCAGGAATACAAGGTTATCCTCAGCTATGTAGCAAATTCAAGGCTGTGTGCGGCTATACAAAACCCCGTCTGAACAAAGAAACAGCAATTTTGTGGTATTTGGTGCAGCTGCTACCTGGGTGTGGCGGTACAGCACACAAGGCAATTCTTATGATGCAGGCTGGTGAGGTGGAGGGGACTCAACAGGAGCCTAAAGGTGCGGCAGCCAACTCCTTAATGGCCCAGGACACATATGCCCTGGAGAATGGTTAGAGTTGATGAAAAGCAATGGGAAAGAAAGCAGAGAGCACAAGATCCCTTTTTCCAAGAGGGGCCAGTCAACATCATCTGCTGTGTGGTTCTGTGACACACTTCAAATGCCACGCTCTATGCGGCTGAAAGTGCATTGCACATATTAAGGGAAAGTACTATTAACCCATTCTGTTATCAGTGGAGTGTATTCAAAAGGTAATTTGTCCTCAGATAATAGTCAGCACAAAGGGACTTATCTGTGATTCTAATTAAAATCCAAAGCTTATCTGGAGTGCAGACAGAGCATTGTTGATTGCTGATGGTTTAAAAACTGCTTTGTGATGTGTGTGTTTATGTGTGTGAAGATGTGTTTGTGTGTAGGCATGCATGTATATGTGACCTATGTGTGTACGTGTGTAAAATGTATACGTAAATGTATATGTGATACATATACATGTTTACATGTTTCTTATAGATATATGTGTGTGTGTTTGTCTTTAATTTATACAGAACAAATGTTTGCATCCATGAGTACAGAGCAAAATATTAGCATACACTATGCGTACAATAAGGGTTATAACATATTTATTGTCTGAAAGGTTTATCACCTTTATGGGGATTGGTAACCTTCAGAAATCCTCTCCAGGATTTCTTTTGAATTAAATGATTAAATGCTGTTCACCATTGTCCCTTTATCCTATAGAACACTTTAGAAATCCAGTTGCAACGGTAGCTTCTGCGGTTTGACACTACCGTGACTGATTTAGCAAAACACCTCTCTTATGCACCAGAATTTTGGTGTTTCTCCCCTGGCTCATTTAGCTGATCTCAAGTAAATCCAAACTTCACAATCCAGCAGAGGTAACCTGAGATCAGACGGCCTTCTGCCCACTGACGTCTGAACCCTTAGACAGATTTATTTGATGGGATTTATATTCACTGAAGACACAGGGCTGAGTCTTGATGGGGAGCCAGATGAGCAATCAGAAACCAGCAAACTGCAGGATAAAGGGACAGCCCAGGTGCTCGCAGGCACGCCAAACTTCGAAAGCCTCACAGGGTGATTCAGGGTAGAAGTGAGCGAGGCCAGTTGGAACTTGATTTGGCTCCTGAACTGAGGCAGCAATCTCTTTATGCTCCTTTTTTTTTTAAAAAAAAAAAAAAAAAAACAACAAAACAAAACAGGAAATAGACACAGAAAACTTCAGTTCCATCTCTCGTTTTGATAATGCCACCTTCTTTCAGTTGAGTTCTGGAGGGCCCTCTGGTCTCTCGTGGAGAAAATGCTATTGAAGAAGGGGCCAGGGCCCTTGCCACCCACTGCCCTCCTGAGCAAGCTTGTTTCAGTTGGCTCTGCCTGCTGGCTGGTGTCCGATCCTGCTCTGCCTACCCTCCAGCCCCATTCACTCCATTACGACACCCACTGCCGCTGCTGGCTGGATTTAATGAGTCAGACCTGCCCGCCACACTTCTGGGCCATTATGCCATTGTCACAATTGGCATTTTGCTGTTCCTGGTATCCAGTTGCCTTCTGAGTGTGTAATTGCAGAAGGTTCATTTTCCATTTCAGCTTGCCACTTATTTAATAATAGAGCCACAGAGAAAAAAGCATCGATTCAGTGAAATTATGGAGAGCACTTAATACCTCTACCTAGGTGTCTATATCGAGGTCATCTTTGCTTGGAGTGGGGCAAAGCGGGCAAAGATGATGATGCTCCAATGAGCCAGGGGCCGGTAACTAGAGTCAGGTGGGCATCGGATTTCAGAATCAGGAAGAAGTGTGTGTGTGTGTGTGTGTGTGATGTGTGTGTTTGCTTGCTTACACGTATGAACATATCTGTCTTTGCATGTGTGCATGACTCTGTAGTCTGCATGTGTGCAGGTATGTTCATGTGCACATTCATGGGTCTGACAATATGCCTGATGTAAGTAGTGGAATATGTACAGATATTTCAGGCAGGTGAGAATTCATTCTCTCACACTTTTCCTTACCAGCCACGGACTGCAGTGGAGGATGGCTCTCCTCGGGACTTGTGCTGGGTCCTGGGGACTGACTGGATAGTTGATATTTCTATACTCAAGGAACACACACATCAAAACACAGGGGTTCTTGACCTTAGCACTACTGTCATTTTGTGTCAATTCATTCTGTGTTGGAGGATGGGGCTGTTTGACAAATTGTAGCGTGTTCAGCCGTGGCCTTGCTCCTTACACATAGTCATACGCTTCTGCTGGAAATGTCATTGCCATGGCTTCTGCTCTGGAGTTAACCAGCAGTGAAGTAGAACCTTCAGAAAGCATGAGACAACTGGACTCAGCATGTGCAGGCTTTTGTCTTGTCAATATTTACTAACAATATAGTACAGCAACGGGCTTAGCATTTGTGCTATATTAGGTATTACAAAAAATTTAGAGAGGACTTGTTCTATGGGAAAATGTACAGAGGTTATATGCAAACACTTTATAGAAGGAATAAAGTAATGCATAAAACAATAAAGTAAAACAATTAAATCTTGGCTGTCCAGATTTTGGTATCTAGATGGTGGCAGGAGTCCTGAGAACAGCCCATAAGTTCCAATCTAGGCTCCTTACTGCCAGCACTCTGGGAACACAGAGTAGAGGGAGTCAGGGAGGGAAAGGAGCTTTGGAAGGACGATCTTAGTGCAGGTGACTAGTTGGTAAGCCTGGCTTTAAGCAGGTGAGGAGGCAGCCTGGGATGGTGAAAGATGAGGATGAGGTCTGAATGATAGGGCATAAAGTAGACAGTGTCTTGTGGGGACACAGATATCTATTGTCCCTCTCCAGGATAGATTCCAAGGTAGGGTAGGACTCCACAGTACAGGGAGTAAAAAAGGACACTTTATACTGCTGTCCCTGGGATCATGGGAGAGAGTGAGAGGGAAGAGGACCAGAAGAAGGGAACTCCCATCGTTTTGAGAAGGACCGCTATGAGCTTCTTGAGAAGTAGACAGCCTGAATCCCAATCTGAGTAGTGTCTTCTGACCACAGAGCACCTGTATGCATATAATGTGGATGAACAGGTAGAATCCTCGTGGCTCATGGTGGGTAGCCCTTGAACTGAACCAACTTTGGGTCTTCCATCTAGATGTCACTAGTGGTTTTCAAGTTCCCTCCAGAATCTGTGATACGAAATTTACCAAATTGCCCAATGACCAAGGTCTGAAACTAGGCATCTTAGCTCTTTGTGTGCCCTGCTCTTCTGTGGTCACAACGCTGCCATTTTCCTTCTGCATCTGCCTGACATCCTGTTTCTGCCATCAGGACTTTGAGCCTCTACTTCTTGTTGCTGCAAGGGCAACATATCCCGTTTCTAAAATGCTTTGGTGATGACATCATCCCACTGGGATTTTGCTCTCAGGAAGGGCCGTGTCATACCCCTGGGTGGAAATGGTTGCTATCACCTGTTACTTACTGGGAAAAGAACCACGATTTTTAGCAGAAGACTGGCTTTTCTATGTTTTAGATTTGCTTATTATTTTTCCATATTTAGATGCCTGGGTTTATAAAAAGAGGGTAATGCAGAGATCACTGTCTGTGGTCCATAGAGGGAAATGTTCCCTGATTCTTGAAGCAACAGTTTTGATTTTCTGTGCAGTAGACAGATTGGGGGTGGATGCATGTAGATTCTCCCAGAAGAGCTCCCCTCTCAACAAGCCAAGGGGGAAGCCCCAGTCTCCAGAACCACAGTTATGGGGCAGAGTTCTCTATGAGAGCTTCAACCTTTTGGAAAACTGCTCTCTGGCAGCTGCTGGGAGCTAACAGCTCTATTGATCACAGAAAGTGACAGTGAAAGGTGGGTATCAAGTTTATATCTGGCTGGGAGCGTCGTTGTTTTCTGGGACCAAGAATCAGGGAACTAAGACCATGCCTGGCACATACTAACTGATTCCATAACATTGATTGAAATCTGGCAGACTGATCTAGACTATTGCATGCCACGAACTTCTTTCATAATCTTGAGAAAGCCTCATTGTTCCCATCTCTGAGTTGAACATCTTACTAATACCAAATCTAGAGTGCTTCCAGAGTATTTTCTTCCTTTTTCCTCCCTCCCCTCCTCCCTCCCTTCCTCCCTCCCTCCCTCCCTCCCTCCCTCCCTCCCTCCCTCCCTCCCGCCCTCTTTACCTCCCTTCTGTCCTTCCTCTTCCTTCTTGCTTTTCTTCCTTTCTTCTTTCTTTCTCTCCTTCCTTCTTTTTCACCCCTCCCCTCCTTTTCTCTTTCCCACCTTTTATTCCTTCTCTTT